GGGCCAAAGTTGGCCTTACAGAGGGTTACTTTAGCTCGTTGAGTTTTCTCTGTGAAAAAAACTCATTTTAAGCCATGTTGGGGTAAAGTAACCCTTATAACAGATCACCATTAGCATACTGAATACACAAATGGATGTTTTTGCCCAAAAATAATTAAGTTAAATAAAAAATATAACTTTAAATTTAGAAAAAAGAGTTAGTCGAGTCAATGAAGCTTTTTATCTGGAAACCCGGTGGAACAGCTTCGATTTTGATGATTTTTTTTTAATAATTTTGTTTTTTTATATTATTTGAAATCAGAAACCTCTGGAGAGGGGGAAATAATTTTTTATATTGTTTAACCAATTTTTATGACATTTAGAGAAAAAAATGTTTTTTTATAAAATATCAATTGAAAACTCACAAAAAAAATATGTTTATGTTATTGTTTTCATATTGTTATCACAAATAATTTTAATTTACATGTTATAATATCAAAAACTTTTAAAAACAATTAATTATAAGATCTTTCATGTAATATAATGACATGACGCTGATATACATAAAAAAGTTAGGATATATTTCATGAAATATAAGAAATTAATAGTTTCATTATTAACATAAATAAAAAAATATTAATAAAAAAAATATATGATATATATATATATTGGGTCAGAGACCGCGCTCTCAAGGATCCCGAGGTCGATTCACTCAAAGCAGCCTACAATTTTGCTTCCAAGGCCTGTAAGAAGGCCTTACATCAGAGCGGATGCTAAGCCGTTGCACGTATTGGCCAGGAACTTATAACGCATCCTACGCTCCCGTAGCTACTGGCGTTTGGCCAAAGCCGTGCAAAAAACCTTCTGCCAGCCCTGGCCACCTCTGAGATGCCCAGACGGAACACTAGCTCATAAGCCACAGGAGAAAGCCGATTTACTGGCAAAACTCTTTGCGGCTAACTCCCGAATCGATAATTGCAATGCACTACCACCATCATTACCTCATTGTGGCACAACGATGCCTGATATTAAAATCAGGCAGTGTGAGGTTCGTGCCGAATTGCAATCACTCGACGTCCGGATAGCTAGTGGACCTGATGGCATCCCAGCAGTAGTACTGAAAAAATGTGCAACGGAGTTGTTTCCTGTGCTCACGCGCTTGTACCAATGCTCGTATTCTTTGGGGCGTGTGCCGGAGACTTGGAGAGATGCTAACGTGCAAACCGGTGCCCAAAAAAGGGGATCGCTCAGACCCGGCAAACTACCGGCCAATAGCAGTCATCTCAGTTTTATATAAAGTTCTAGAAAAGCTCCTTAATAACCATCTGACCCGTCATCTTATTTTATATTTATTTTATTTATTTATCATCTTCAGGGCAAAACACTACCGCTAGAGAGCAACATTTCCATGCTCGGTATGGAAGTTCGCTCAGACCTGAATCCAAAGAACTAAATCGAAACCGTGATCAAAACAGCTTCACGCAAAACTCGGAGTCCTGAACAAGGTGCGGCGTTCTTTCACGCCCGATCAACTGTGCTTGTTGTACAAAACGCAAGTGCGGTCATGCGTGGAATATTGCTCGCACCTCTGGGATGGCTCCGCCAAGTACTTGCTCGATGCTTTGGATAGGTTACAGCGGCGCGCGATCCGCATCATAGGCGATGAGGAGGTGACTCAACACCTTGAGCCGTGAAGTGGCGTCACTAAGCGCGTTCTATCGTCTGTACCACGGCGAGTGTTCTGAGGAGTTATTCTCTCTTATCCCACCTTCCCCTTTCCTTCAGAGGACCACGCGCGCTGGCCTACGTTGTCACCGTCTTACTGTGGCCACAATTCCAACGCGTACAAAGAAATTTGGTGACTCATTTCTTTGTCGCACTATCCGTAAATGGAATGCTCTGCCCGCTCACGTGTTCCCTCCCTCTTACAACCTGGGATCCTTTAAAAGAGGCGTGAAGAAGCAACATGCAGACCGGCAGGGTGAGGATGGCTGGTGTGGCAGGTAGAACTGCTGTATCAGCTATCTTCGCGTCTGGACTTCACCTTCACTTAACATCAGGTGGGGTGGAGTCATTTGTCGGACCTATCTATAAAATATATATATGAAGTAACTAAAATATAACGTAAGTGCTCAACGCATTCGTATTATTGACCAATACATCGTATTTTAATGGTTTAAATATTAAATTATTATCAAAAGCCTCATTTTAACAACTATGTTTTATACTAACATTAATATAATAATATTGTTTTCAAAAAAAAGCGATAAAAGTGTTTTTTTTTTATAAAAATGTCTTAAATATTGTTTAAACAATAAAAAAAAAATATTTCCCCCCTTCCAAAGGTTTCTGATTTTGAATAATATAAAAAAACCATTTTTTTTTTAAAAAAAATATCCAAGTTTTGTCTGTTTTATGTCTCTATTGACTCGACTAAGTAAACTTACCGAAAACCACAGTTTTGAGAAAGTTTGCGCATTAGAAGTATTTGTTATTTTTTTAAGTTTTTTTTTAAACGTTAAGTGGTGATAAAGTCCAGACGCGAAGATAGCTGTTACAGCAGTTATAAACTACCGCACCAACCATCCTCACCTTGTCGGCCTGCAAAAATGCTTCTTCACGCTTCTCTTAAATGATCCCAGATTGTAGGAAGGGGGAAACACGTGCACGGGCAAAGAATTCCACTTGCGAATAGTACGACAAAGAAATGAGTCACCAAATTTCTTTGTTCGTGTAGCAATAGTGGCCACAGTAAGTCGGTGACAACATAGGCCAGCGCTTGGTCCTCTAAAGAAAAGGGGATGAAGGGATAAGGGAAAAAACTCCTGAGAACACTCGCCGTGGTATAGTCGGTAGAAGAGTATGGGGGATAGGACGATGCTCTGTGGAACACCGGCATTCATTGATTTGAATTGCTAACTACATCCATCCGTAAAGACGCATATTCTACGCTGGGATAAAAAGTTAAAACCTAAGAAAGAGTAAGAGTGGTAGTTAAGATGGTATGTAATAAAAAAAATGTTTTGCTATGCCCCTTCGGGGCTCACGTTTTAACTAAATGTAATATTAATAGTTAAGATATTTTATGTACGACACGATGCAATAAATGATATCTGTCTATCATTATCATCATCAGACTATTAATTTCCGCACTGCTGGGGCACAGGCCTTCCCTTATGGATGGAATATGGGTATTGGGCCATGACCCACCACGCGGGCTCCGTGCGGATTGCTGGGTGCTAACGACTGCAGATGCAACCGGTCCCAAATCAAATCAAAAATCAAGACCAAAGGCTTAACATGCCTTGTGAAGCTCGGAGGAGCTCGAGATAGTAAATTTTTGGTCACCCATCCAATGGTCGACCACTGTAAATATTTTTTAACTTCCACCTGCGATACGCATTACCTATTAATAAATCCGCCATCGAGATCCTCATTACCTATTAATAGTGTACATTACTAAGTAAAGCTCAGTTAACAAGATAGTCGGAAATTCTTCTTGTGAAATAGTGACCAATGCTCCATATTTGTATGACACGTCTGAAATACATTTTTTTATTAAAATGTTAATAATACAAATAATAATTTTAATAATTGAAAAATTAAACGAGGCGATTACGTACCATGGCGTCTTCAGCCTTCGGCGCCGTCAAGTTCTCACCGGGTCGGTACGGGTTCGTTTCGTTTTCATTTCTGTAGCAAATCTGTACAGATTCTTTACCGAAAACCACTTCTTGTCTGGTTCGGTTTCGGTGCGTACTTATATACATATATCGTTTCGTTTTATTTGCTTCTGTTTTGTTTGCGGCATTGAAATTACATGCACCCGGTAGAGAATCTGTACAGATTCGGTACAGAAACGAAAACAAATGTTAATAGGTATGAACCTATTAACCGTATAAACAATAAAATGAAACGTGCAATCTCGTTATTTTAGATTTGCTGATACAGCAGAGAAACATGGAACTTCAGCGACTTATCCAGTATAGGATACTGGATAAGTCGCTTTGCTAATACTTACTTACTAATACTAGGTAATACTTACTTTATCAATTAAACCTATAAAAATCGATCACATTGCCTCGTCCGTATTTTACAAGTCCCATATAGTTCAAGGTTTATTTGCTCTACTTGTTTGTTATGGTAGCTATTAGGCAGGTAAGCACTTAATTATACCTAAGTAATAGTGAAATGCAAAGAGCAACTGCTTCGTTTGCCTTAAAATTTAATGAAATTTACACTTCTTGTTTACCTGCACGATAATGTCTCGGCTCTTGCATATTTAACAAGTTGAGTCGACTCACTATTAATTTAAGACGCGCCATTCCACTTTCGAAACTTAGAGGAGCATCTACTAAGTGCTTACATAGCAAGATGATGATTCCTGATCATTTGTTTGACGAAAGCATTGACAATTCGCTTCTTAGGGCCGACATGAAATATGTCCAAAGTAACAAAGTCGTCTACGAAAGAACTCAGAGAGATTTTGTAAGTTAAATTTGGGTTTATTTGTATTTTAAGTCATTTTGTAAGGTAGTAAGTTATAATGCGTATCGATAATAAAAATTCCAATAGAAATAAAAAAATGCTTCTGACAATGAGAAATAGAAAAATAATCAAAAGTAAAAACGTTACCTACTAAAAGGTTTCGCAAACTAAACAATTCTCAGAGACATCAATTGTTTTTTATAAGCTGATTGTTGCTTCAGCTTGTTGCGATAGCAATAAAAAAATACGTAAGAAATCACTTTACTCAAAAGTAATCAAAAGTAAAAACGTTACCTACTAAAAGGATTCGCAAACTAAACAATTCTCAGAGACATCAATTGTTTTTTTTTAGTTGATTGTTGCTTCAGCTTGTTACGATAGCAATAAAAAATACGTAAGAACTCACTTTACATAACCATAAATTTTCTTTATAATTTGAATAGGGCTTAGAATAGAAGACTTAATTTAAAACCCCATTAGTCCTAGAAAATTCTCTTACATGGGTACTTTGCAATGTATCTTTTTTTTCATAGGAGCAAGAACAGCGCGATTTACTCTCGTCTCAAGACGGTGATACCTGTGAGATCCACGACCAGTTCTACAGAGACCACAAGCTTTTGCTAGTTCTCTTCCGAGCGCTTGCCGTCATGCCTATCACAAGATCGCGTCCTGGTTGGTCACATTTCCTAATGATTTTCTTGTTTTTAAAAAGTAAAGTTTGGAGAAGAGTGTTTTTGTAAGTACCTACATTATAATTTAATACCGTCAATGTAACGGCACGGCGAGCGCTCATCCGCCGTCTGCTAGACAAGCGTAGAAGTGACACGGTTTCTGGGGGTAATGATTCCATGAGCGAGCCTTTCCACCAGCCGAATCCAGCAGGCCGAACCATATACGTCTATGCTATGGTCCTATGATCATGTTTTTTTAATAGCCTAGTTTTTCACTTTGGGTGTATATTATTCACAATTTGTACATGTCTTAACTAATTCTATATGCAACTAGTGTCCGGGTGACCGGCACATGTGTCCGTTAGCCCGTCACAGAGGTCGCCCACCAGCTATAACATGCTTGATGGACGATGGGATGATAGAAGGGTTCAGATTTAAAATAAGGGGTACCCCACTTACCAAAGAGAATATTCAAAATGGGCCCTTGGGAGTAAGAAAGACGGAGAAGTTGATCAGCCCTATGATTATGATTACCTTCTTTTTTAATACTAGTGGCCCGCACTCGCTTCGCTTCAATGAAGAGCTGTAGTGTAGACTATAGTTTTTGTCCTCAGGCTTGTATTATATACAATGAATTTCTTTATATAATTATAAGCCTTCCATGAAAATTTATTTTACTGATAGTGAATATTTTGTTGCGTTGTTTAGGACCTGTTGTACCGAATGCACCATTTTTTTGATTGAACGCGCAAACCGCAGGAACAAACGGACCGATTTGAAAAAATATATATTAGATAGTGCGTTGATTAAGATAAGCTTAAGGCTATATAATATTACGCTGCGACCAGCAGGAGCAGAGTATCGATGTAAAATGTTGCGAAAACGGATAAAAATGTTCTAAAATTAGCGCGGGTGAAACCGCAGAGGACCTCTAGTTCTGACATAACTGTGATAGTTAGACATATGGTATCCCGGACTTTTTTGTAGATATTGATGTCCTCTATCAAACTTTATTTATTTATTCTTTATTACCAAAAACAGTAAATGGCGGACTTAATGCCATAGGCATTGTTTACCAATCAACCAGTATGGGTGTATGAGACGGATGTTTTGGCGATAGAGTGCGAGCTACTAAAGTTAGAGTAAAATAATAATAATAATATTATCCTACAGAACTATACTATACTATAAACGATAAATATATCGAGCCGTTACCGCCAAATTATCGTAAGCGACACTTTTGTCGAAATGCGTTTTTTGTGGAAACTAATATTTTAAACCGTAACGGACCCATCTCTGTTGATATTTCCCTCTATTCTTCCCTCCCCCAGTAGAGAGCATAACAGAAGTAGGGAAAGAAGTGCTTGTTAAGCTCATCCAGTGAAAATGAAGGGATATGCTTGGTGGTAGTTTTACTAAAACCAAGAGTTTTGAGAAACTTCCATGTATCGGCTAGATTTGAATTTACTATATTTTGATGAATGTATTGGCGTTTAGCGGCTCTTACCATCTGATTGCAGCGATTTCGTGCCGTTTTAAAGGCACACCAGTTATCATCAGTGCGGCAAAGTTTGTATGCACGGAAGCACTTATTTCGCTTCCTCATTGCCATGCGAACACCCGCAGTAATCCATGGCGCTGGTGACCGTCTTAATTTAACGATTTTTTTTGGGGCATGTCGGTAATAAAGATCAAAAATAACTCTGTTAAAGTAGGAGATCATATTATCGATGGAACTTGCTTCACGAAGGGGTTCCCAGTTAATACTACAAGCATCGCTTCTCAATTTCTCCATCATCCAGTCTAGCAAAATTTCGCATTCGTACAAGAAGTGGCTTTGGCTTTGGTGGTTTAGCTTTATAAGCAAGAAAAACAAGGTCGTGCCTGGAGAAGCCAGGTGCAGGAAGTTGTCCGTGCTTAAGGACACGTTCGGGGGAAGATATTGGGAAGATGTGGTGAGATTGTGATGAGTAGGATCAAGATGTAAAATAGAAAAGTTCAATGAGGGACCGAAACTTGCGAGAGTGGGCGGTGTCTTTCAGGAGGTCAGTGTTAAAATCGCCCATGATAATATGATGAGAGTACTCTGTTCCAACAGAATTGAGAAGTGAATCAAGGTCAGTAAGAAAATTTATAGAAGGGGGACAGTAGACAACTCCCAGGGCTATTTTGACACCTTTGATAGTAACTTCAAGGAAAAGATATTCCATGGAGTCGAGGTAACAGGAGGATGAAGATATAAGTTTGAAAGGTAAGACATTTGACAAATATATGGCAACCCCACCGCCACCTTTGCCAATACGATCATTTCGAATAAGATTATACCCCTATATATTATTTATTACATCATTCTGCTCTATTTGTCAATGAATTCCGCAGCGTACACGACATAAGGTTATTTTTTGGTATTCTTTGCACACGTTGGGTTACATTATCGAAGTTTTCACACGGAACTCTAACTTTTTGAAATGACTCTATAGCCTATGTTCATCACGGATAATGAAGGATTCTAAATGTGAAAGCATTTTTCGAATCGGTCCAGTAGTTTCGGAGATTATTCAACACAAACAAACAAATCTTTCCTCTTAATAAAATTAGTATAGATGCACAATGTATTTTGTCTCCCTGTTGATAAAAGACAACAGGGGGCCAATCGCCTAATGGTATCGCTATGGCTATCGCTATCACTTACGATTTCATTTTGTTTTTTCTGACCGCCTAATGTTTTCAAATGTAAATATTTAGCAGCTGCAAGCCTGCTGTACGTTCATCGTAAGCTTTTAACAAATAAAAGTATTTCAACAGCATACCTTTCATCATCAGCCTATTAATGTCCCCACTGCTGGGGCACAGGCTTCCCTATGGATGGAATAGGGAGATTGGGCCATGACCCACCACGCGGGCCCAGTGCGGGTTGTTGGGTGCTAACGACTGCAGATGCAGCCGGGACCAACGGCTTAACGTGCCTTCCGAAGCACGGAGGAGCTCAAGATAGTAAATTATGGTCACCCATCCAATGACCGACCACTGCGAAAGTTGCTTAAATTCAACGATAGCTGCGGAACGCGCTAACCACTTGCGCCATCGAGCTCCTCCGCTCAGCATACCTTTAAATGCTTCAATTTAAATGACAAATAAATTGCTCAATTTTAGTTATGAGGTAGCGGTGCCAGAATAATAGACGGGTTTAAATATGTTATAGGAAAAAATAGGTTAAAGGTTTCTTTTAAAGACTATTCAAAACAGCTTTTAGTAAGTCAACTTGAATAAAGTTTCTTTTAATTTAATTTCGTTTTATCTTCGAGCTATGGCTCTGGAAGAACATAGCTTTAATCTTCTTATGTTTCAGGTATGATCACATTCAGCTGGAGGTCCTCTGCTACCGCATATGCTATTTGCTTCTACATCGCTACTACAATCATAGTTCTGTTCGTTGGATACGAGCGTATCATGATATTACGCTCCATCAGAAAGTTTGACGACTACATTTACGCTATCATCTTTGTTCTTTTCCTTGTGCCCCATTTCTGGATTCCATTCGTTGGCTGGGGTGTGGCACCTCAGGTTGCTATCTATAAAACAAACTGGGGTAAATTTCAGGTGATTTCTTGATCTCTGTATATTTTGGGATGTTGAAAATCTTATTAATATATACCTATTCGTAATCTACAAAATAAAGATTTCATTGATAAATCTCACGTTCGGTATTTCAATGCGTAATTTCATTCCATAAAATATTTTTCGTGCAATTAAATACATACTTTCACACATTTTTCAGTGAATGGTAGGTATAATCACCACGTCCACTCAGTAATTTTATTTTAGTAGACATTATTATAATTTTCTCTGAAATTGTACCCCTGTCCTGTAAGAATATTATAACTTAAGCAGGCATATATCCCACCCACCCACAGCTACACTACATCTACATCAAATTTAAAATTGCTTAGTTATACCTAAGTGATTGTTTGAAACAACATGTGACACGAGTTGCAAACTTACCGCCTACAACATCTACATTTCGATATTACCATAATTATTGTATGTTGTTTGAAAAGAGCAAACGTTGCCTTCCGCAACTCGTCTTTGTTAAGAGTGACTGTAGTGGTGCGAAGATTGCTGATGTAACAGGAGGCTTAGACAAGTAGTATTCTTTCTAAATTCTTTTGAACTATTAAGGCAACTTTGAAGTTAAAGAAATCAATAAATCTACGAAATCACTTGTCTTAATTCTAATGTGTATTAAACATTACATTTATTGTTCGGAAATAATAAGCGTGACTCATCATTTCAAAGTATATTTTTAAATGCTAAGTTCAGCCACTTGTCCTCGACCCACAGCGTGCAGCGGCTTATTATGCACGATTTTAAGGATACCTACTTGCAATCTACTGTCCAAAGTTCAAAGGCTTATAGAATCATACCAGAACTATTCTCCCTGTGTTATTTAATACCAGTGCAAAAAATTTCAGGTCCGCTATTACAGGGTAACAGGTGAAAACTTGAAATTCCCCAACTTGAAAACTTCAATTGTCATCATAAGCATTGGCTGTCTTTTGCTTGCTGTGTGCTTTCTGTTGAGTTTGTGCGCATTGTTGGATGGCTTCCCGTTGAGGCACACTGCCGCTTACTTCCACATCGTCACGATGATCAATATGAACTGTGCTTTGTGGTACATCAACTGCCAAGCTATTAAGATCGCGTCACAAAGCCTTTCGGAGTGCTTTCGTAAGGTAATTCTTCTTTATTTCTCTTAAATTTTAAGCGTCTTCTGAAATACCTTGGCGAGTTACAGCTCATCCCCACTAACTTCCATATAATGGCCTTTAATTAATCATCATCGACCTTATAGTACTCATATTGCAATGGCAGACCTTTCAATATAGATAGACACTTTAAGAAAACGGAAAACTACAAAAGTCCAGAGAAAATTACTTTAGTGAGTGTCTGCCGTACGCAGCACGGAGGAGCACGACATAATAAATTTTGCTAACTGATTGGAGTCGACTCACTATAGATAAACGAATACAGTTAAGTCAGTTACATAAAAAAAATGAAACATATAACCTAACCTTGAGAACAGGCGGGCTTTAGATGTGGCTTCTCAATAATTGACCACCTATTTACAGTAAGACAGGCTATAGAAAAGTGCAACGAATATAATCTGCCAGTTGTCCTTGGTTTTGTCGACCGCGAAAAAGCTTTTGACACTGTGGAACATTGGGCCGTCATAAATGCACTTAAAAGGAGTCAGGTAGATATTAGGTATATCGATGTACTTAAAGGGATTTACAATGCACCCAGACTTCAACTCAAGCTCCATGATCTTTCGGAACACATCCCTGTAAAGAGAGGCGTACGACAGGGGGATACCATCTCAATCAAACTGTTCACGGCATGCCTGGAAGATATATTTAAGCTCCTTAACTGGTCAAATAGGGGTATCAACATAAACGGAGAGCGCTTAACCCACTTGCGATTCGCTGATGACATAATAGTCTTTGCTGAGACCACAACGGACCTGCAATGTATGTTGCAGGAACTATATGACGCCTCGATAGCGGTTGGCCTCCGCATGAACACCTCAAAAATAAAAATAATGTGCCAAGACCCAAGTATCGAATACATAGGAGTAGCAGAAAATCGTATGGAATGGGTGGAAGACTATTTGTATTTGGGGCAGCTCATTACACTCGATAAAAGCGGGCAGGCTAGAGAAATCGACCGTCGTATTGGACTGGGTTGGGCAGCGTTCGGCAAATTATCCGAAAATTATCTTCAAAAGTAAGATGCCATATTTCCTCAAACGTCACGCATTCACCCAATGTGTTCTTCCTGTTCTGATTTATGGAGCCGAGACCTGGACTATGTCAAGGCAACATAGCCACACCATGCAAGTCGCTCAGAGAAAAATGGAGCGTGCCATGCTCGGTGCCATGTTCGGTATCATTGAGAGATTGTGTACACAATGAGGACATACGGAAACGAACAAAACTACCCGACATTGCTCGCGAACTCGCAGGGAAGAAGTGGAGGTGGGCAGGTCACGTGGCTCGCAGAACGGACGACAGGTGGAGTCAAGCTATTGTGGAGTGGCGGCCCAGAACAGGACGCAGAAACGTAAGTAGGCAGCCCGCCAGATGGTCCGATGACATCACCAGATTAGCAGGACGAAACTGGATCCAGATCGCGCAACACCGAGCAAATTGGCGCACCATGGAGGAGACCTATACCTAGCAGTGGGTGGATAACGGTTGAAGAAGAAGAAACTTATAAATTGAACAAAATTAAATCTAATTTATTAAAAGATAATGTAATATCTATCCATTAACAAGCATTTGTAATTTCTAATAAGCTGCGTCTATGTAAGTATTGTTGTCTACGTTGTCTTTATACTAATCCAATTACTTTGTCAAAGTATTTTTTATTGTGGTCCTACAAAGACCCAATTTAGAATTAAGGACCTTAAGGGTTTAAGGTCCTTTAATCTAAATTGGGTCTTTGTTGCATGACGGTTATTATACTTATTGAAAATAACATTAGAAAGCACATTTTGTGTAATCTTTCCAGGATGTCAAAATAGAATGTTCAGCTAAATTGATATCCCGCTACCGATACTTATGGCTGAATTTATCGGAGCAACTTCAATTGCTTGGCAATGCGTACGCTCGCACATACTCCACTTATTGTTTATTTATGTAAGTATAAATTTACTAATTCTAATTGAAAAGTAGTTGTACCTTTATTAATAAATTACCAAACAGTTAAGTGTCTTATTAAAATTTACCGAACTCCGAAGACTTCTTCTCCCGGGTATCAAACATGTCCCATCGAAACAGGATTAGAAGACTTTACAATTGAAATGAAATGATACTTTATTCAAATTGACTTATAGAAAGCTCTTTTGAATCGTCCAATATTTTTTCCTACCACCCATTCAGGACACCTTTTAGCTGATAAGAAGAATGGGCGCAAGAAACATCAGTATTAACAGAAGTAGTAACATTTACATAAAATCATGACGCTACCAATACAATTACTAATTTTTGTTTTGTTTTATAAAAAGAAATTAATTACTTACATTAACAATGTATTACATAGTTACTTGTGAATTTAATAAGTTGCTTACTTCAACGAGGGAAGTGTTCATTATTCCCAGATATTTCGATCATTTAAGTAATCTTGGACTCGATAATATCCTTTGCTCATCAGAGTATTTTTCACATAAGTTTTTAATTTATGAAGAGGTAAATTAACAATACTGTGCGGTAACATTTGCCTAAAAATGAGTTTTGTGTTTTTTGTACTTTAAAATTTGGAACGGCAAGCTGATTTTTATTTCTCGTGTTTATTTGATGAATATCTGTTTTCTTTATAAAATTGCTATAATGTTCATGCACATAAGTTATCTATACTAATATTATAAAGAGGAAAGGTTTGTATGTAAGTATGTTTGTAACAAATTGGCTCAAAAACTACTGGTCCGATTTTGAAAATTCTTTTACCATTTCAATGCTACATTATCACTGATTAATATAGGCTATAGTGTATTTCCAAAAAGTTAGGGTTCCGTATGAAAACTTCGATAATGTAACCCAACGTGTGTAAAAAATACCTAAAAATAGCCTTATATCGCGTACGCTGCCGAAGTCATTGGCAATAGAGCAAAGCAAAGGGATACCATATATCTAACTATTAGAGTTATGTCACAACTAGAGGTCCCCTGCGATTTCACCCGCGTTAATATGAAGAAAAAGGTTTACAGTGAGTCAAACTTAAAATATAGACATAGGCTGTCGTGGGCTTTTTACAGAACTTTTAAAGGGAAAGAATTCCGTCATATATGATTTTTGTGTAACTTTAACAGTTTACCCAGTGCACGCAACGGAATCTCACAAATGGAATATTTTTACCCGTTTTTGCAATTTTTTTTATCGATGCTCCGCTGCTACTGGTCGTAGCTGGGTAATAAAAGCCTTCCTCGATAAATGCACTGTCCAATACAAAAAGAATTTTTCAAATCGGAACAGCAGAGCAATGTTGCATTCGTTACAACAGGTCCTAAACTACGCAATTTTTTTTTATTTGGAGTGGAAGGTTTATAATTATTAAGAAGAAGGTCATTGTGTATAATACAAGAATTTGAACAAAAAGTATAGTCTACACTACAGCTCTACTCCGAAGGAAAGCGAGGGCGGGCCACTAGTATCAATTCAATTCTTTATTGTCTCATGGTTTAAAAGGTCTTAAAATATTTATTACATTAGGTACAAACATGGACCTCCGTTGGGGCACCACAACTACTAAAATAAATAAAAATCAAATAATATTATTAACATGTCAACGTGGCTTGAATACAATTGGGTACTAATTGAAATAAATATCCTCATAAATGTACGACCCCGGCAATGTTAAAATGTTTATTTCTTAAAACTTCTCCCTTGGTCATAAATTTTATATGGCCCGAATTGCTCTTTTATGTAATATAAACATACTTTCAATATTGGCATCTGAACCCTATAACAACATACCTACCATAGGACATCACACTATGAAAATAACTAAAGTAGACTAACCTTGCTGTTTCAACATCAGTCACAAGCCTTATTTTTTATAGCATACACCGCTGAGCTAAGTCTAATTGACACAGAATCAATATGAGTATACAATTGCAACATAGAATCTAAAGTTATCCCTAAACAAGACTCAATGTATTATTCACACCCTGTAGTACAAAGTGTTGAACGATTATATTATACGCTAGCGTCATACAAGGGAATACTTACTTTCGTATTAATTAGTACTTAGTGGATGATGTGACGGCTGGACATTAGGCGGGCTTTATGGTTTTCGATCTTTGCCTGGCCTATAGGTAAGTACATCTCCCATAAAAATGCCCCAAAACATTTTTGGCGTTTGATTTTGCCAGTTTTAATGTTTTATTTCCTATTTTATTGAAATGGTCCTTAAACGATATTTACCTTATGTTATAGTAAATTAGTCTAAAAAACTTTTTTTCTAGGTTCACGAACATTACTGTTGCTGTGTATGGCGCCCTATCGGAAATCGTGGACCATGGGTTCGGGTTCAGCTTCAAGGAGATGGGGTTGTTTGTGGACGCCACCTACTGCTCGACATTGCTCTATATATTCGCAGATTGTTCGCACAAATCCACGAAGAAGGTTCGTTAGATGATAACATGAAGAAGCAACATGCAGGCCGGCAGGGTGAGGATGGCTGGTGTGGCATGTAGAACTGCTGTAACAGCTATCTTCGCGTCTGGACTTCACCTTCACTTAACATCAGGTGGGGTGGAGTCATTTGTCGGACCTATCTATAAAAAAAAAACATAGACCATCAAATACACACCACAAAAATTAAATTAAATTAAATTCACCACCTAAACAAAAATACTTTCCCAAACACCGATCGTAGCGAAAGAATCAGTTAAGCCTTATAGTCCAAGATCCCAGAGCCGCCAGGCAATACATACTTGTTTTCTGATGGACAAAATAAGGATTAATATTAGTTTGATAGAACGAGGATGTAGTATAAGTGTGTACAATGAACAATGAATTTTTTATGATCTACTTATCAAAATTATTGCAGAACTAGTGTCCCGCCCTCGCTTCGTTTCGGTGAAGAGCGCCGGTATTCTTCAGGAATCCGTCCTATCCCCCAACTCTTTCTGGTGTATATCAATGATTTGATTCCTCTTAGGAATATCTATTGATAATATCAATTATGCATATTATGCAGACGATAGTACAGTACAGTGCATGTGGGATACTTTGGACACTCAGGTGTTTGATAGGTAGAAACCAAGAAGAAACGAGAGAATCTTGTCACTTAACTCATTCAGGCTTTGGGCCACATTTCCGAATGAGATACCCTGATCTTGGTTGAGTTCATTACTATGAAAACCCAGGTTTACGCTTTCTCAGCAAATTATCGCCATTCCTTCCCCTTCCCTCTCCTCAAGGCATAATAATTGCGCTACAGAGCAACATCACCATGCTCGGTATATATTATTACATTGATTAGAACGGAATAAAATCCACTTACACTAATTAACAGGTATAAAATTGTTCTCATAGAATGTCCTCGCAAAACCTCAAACACACTAACAGCCATTTCTTCCATACATTCGCAAACAACTTCAGGACTGGCTTCCAGAAGAGCATTGAGTGCAGTGAGTTTGCGTAAGATGAACGATCTTGCACGAGCTACTGTGCGACAAACTGGAACAGCAAATAATTTGTATCTTCTACTGCGACCATAGTTATTGGGCACAAAAATTCGCAAAAGCACCTTCCTAATTCTAATATTCCACGTAATATTTTGCTCATTGTTATCAGCTGATCATCAAACCTTCGCATCTCCAAGGAGTTATAATCCCGGCAGCCTAATAAGTACTTGGTTGGGTACATGTACGGGTAAAAGCCGTAAATAGCCTTATATAAAAACCGAAGAAAAGCTTTCTGAATCTTTTCCATCAAATGTGTATATTTACTTTCATATGGATGCCAAACACACACGCTAGATTCAAGTTTACTACGTTCAAGAGTGTTCTAATCAGTTTGATCACACTAGCGTTCCTAAAATCCCGCGAATTTCGGAGTACAAAACCCAGACGCCTATATGATTCTAGTCTTCCTTATGCGGACGATTTAAGTCTTTACTTTAAGATACTTACCATAAATTGCTTGTTACTTCAACGAGATGTTGAAGCACTGTTTGAATGTAGCATCGAAAATAAGATGGAATTTAACTTCTCAATGTGTACTCTAATGAGTTTCAGCCGGATGAGAAATCAGTACATTTGTCCGAATAGCGAAGGGTTCGAGTCGCGTCTGCTCCCTGGTCCGCGTGTAATATTTTCTAGTAATATTTTCCTTACATTTAAACATCGAGCAGTTACATGCTTATAAAATAAAAATTATAGATATAAGTAAGGTTGTGTTTTTTAATTTTGATATTTAAAGTGGCAATAAATACTGCCTATGGAAGATGTCTAGCCGTATTTTAAATTGTTTACAAAATTCTCTACAACATAAGTTCTTAGATTGTAAGTAAACCGAGTATTTTTTTTACGTGGCTGTGCCACCTGATATCTGAGAATTGGCCTACAGCACAAGTTAATAAGTATACAAAATACAAAAATACAAAATAAGTTTATTTCAGTAACTTAGCCTATTACAATGTATGAGTATGGTACATCCTTTTAAGCAGTAAAATTGCTTGTGTTAGGATGCACCGCTCTTCCATAGCTTGGTTACAATAGGCCAATTAACAATCCGCCATATATGTATTTATATTATTATATAGTTTAAATATTTTTTATTTTTCAAAATGATTTCAAAACAATAAAATAAACCAACAAAGATTAGTATGTATACGTTCATTGGACCTTCACACGAATACTACTCGATAAGGTATCCATATGAAAATAAGTAAGGTCTCGCGGCACTGGGATCTTTCTCTATTAGACTAAAACTTATTTATATTGAATCTTTGTGTTCTATGATTATAGCCGTGTAGGATATAGTTATAGTCAATAGAGTTACATCAATAAATAAAAAGCTTTTTTCATAATTTCAGGTGGCAGATGGCGTTAAAGATACTCTTTTAAATATTGATATTTTAGCCGTAGACATACCTACGCAGAAAGAGGTATTATTATTGGCAATATAAATTACGGCAGTTATATTCATTTATTCATGTATTTTAAGTCTTTCAAGTTATACTCAATATTTCACAAATTGGACATACTATTTCCGAATGTCTTAAATACTTAACCAGTTTTAATAGCATTAACTTATTCTAGCTTTGTTTGTTAATAGTAAAGTTGTGATACATTGGTGTTTTTTTAGATCGATCATTTCATTCAGGCTATAGAGATGAATCCAGCTGTAGTGAGTCTTAAGGGATACGCTGATGTCAACAGGGAGCTTCTGACATCTGTGCGTATATCGAATCTGTATTAGAGCCTTCCGTGTGTTAAATGAGAGCACGGAGCTGACGTCCGCTCCGCGTGGAGTTTTTATGTCAATTCATAGAACTGCACGGGAGTCCCACCTCACGCAGCGCTGCTGCTCTGTGAAATAATACGAAACAAATACGCGGATCAGACGCCTGCTCCGTGCTCCCGCTTAACGCAGCGCAAGCTCTTATTATAAGAAACTTTTGGCTTACAGACTATACAGGGCGTCCCACGGGTTTGTCACACGAAGGGAAAGTATATTAAATATTGAAGATAGGATATTTTACTGAAAGAAGACATAATTTTATTTTTAATAACTACAACTGTATTCACAGTTTTTTTTTTAAAATCGCCTGCTACAACTGGGAATCAATCTTGTGAAATTTGTAAAAAAAACACGACGTATTTTAAGATAACCATCGAAAGGGTTAATCATAGATTATTATGATTATAGGATTTTTTTTCCTAAATTATTCAGCATTTCAAATGAAAGGAAGATCATGCAATTAAAATTTTGTTCAGGAAAATTTCCCCTTACTTTTCAGTGCTTCCAACAGGTGATATGTTATAATTTCACAGTATTTACTAACTAGTACCTGCTTACATTATAATACAGGATTTCCTTATTATAAGTACGTGCATAAATAAATAAAGCGATACTTATTCAAACTTAACACCGTTTCTTTTTTATTGTAGTTTGTGTTCAATTATTACAAAAAGACAAAGTACGTGATTTTTCTTTCATTTGAAATGCTATGTTAAAAATAATTCTCATGATTTACCTTTTCGACTTTCGTCAAATATCCTATCTTTACCTCCGTGTGACAAACCCGTGGGACGCCCTGTATACAAGCGAAACATCCATAATAAATAAAGCAAACTAACTTTAAGACAGGTTTTCAAAATGTTTCACACAATTTTTTTTTTACTTTCTTATCATGCAATCAGTCCTCATGACTATGAACAGTTTGATGGAAATCACGTGTTGGGTCAGACGCTACATCGAGCTCATATCATATCTGGTTCAGCCTAAGCATTTTTTGTTACATCCGGTAGTTTGCGCCTTTTCAGACGTTTCATGTAATCCGGCAGTGTCAATTGTGTAGCTAGCTAGTTTGAATGTTTAAACAGGCTATTTCGATATTTGTCCGATGTATGAGATTTCCTCTCTGACAGTGTTGACATGAAGATGTTGATGAACTTCTGAGTTGCAAATGAACCATGGAGCATTAGAAATCTGCAATAGGATATAGTTCTGCGCTCTTTGGATTTTGATTAATGCTTACCAAAGTCGTGGGCAAAATGACCGTATGGTATTAGTATCAATACCATAGTAGAAACTTAACCTCAAGTTTTCATATAAAACACTCATAGGTAAACAAAGTGCATCAATTGGTATTTACGTCACAATATTTCCCATCCGCGCTGTACTGAGCGTATCTTTATGACACCTATTGATAAGTTTGCTGAATCATAATCAATCTAAAAATGTTATCGTGGATTTTCTTCATCGAGTACGCACTAACTACGCAACCATGCCGAATCAATCTCTACTAAAAGCTCTCCTATTCTTATCTAGAGTATCTTTAGTAGGGATAAACTTTTTGCTACCGTTGAGTGATACGATAAATATCATGCTACATTTGAATCACTTTTACTATCTGGATGGTGTAAAAACAACAAGATACGTGACCAGGACGCCTACTCTAATTCAAAGAAAAGCTTAATTTCGATCTAAACTTTGCGTGTGTACTATGTTTCTTAGTCGTTTCTAATTATAATACTAAACGTTCGTGAAAATAGATTGAGGTTTAGATTTCTTAAGCCTACTCAACGAAAAATTGAATTTGATAGTTTATCGTTGAAATCAAGTATAACCTCAAATTGACGAAATAAAATTTCGTTTGAACGTCATAACCCAACGAAAGTTCGTTTCAGAAAAAGAGAGTCGACCCTCGTGAATAGTAACAAAATGCGTAGAAATTTTCCACTTGTATTTCACTCACAGGCGATCTTCGAAACGGTCAATTAAATTGAAACATTGACAAAGCGTTGTCTTCTTCTATTGCTATCGCTAAGACGGCATCAAAATCAATCAAACTTAAACTTGATTGACACTTCTATGTACCTGCTGTCAGTACACCGATGAGTAGATTAAGAGAAGAAGGGCATAGCGGATTTCCGCTTGAATTGTAGCACCCGTCTGGGGAAGTAACTTCCACCTTACAGTAGTCCACAGTTAAATTACACTACCTTCTGGTGGTGTTGTGATTCTTTCATTGAGTAAGGTTCCAGGGCTCCACGGAGGATTAAGTCAGGGTAGGCAACGGTGCGAGTGATATTTTTGGTGTTGCAAGCGTCTATAGGCTATGCTATGGTGGCTTTTTACCATCTGGCTGGCCACAGGCTTATTTGCCACCCTTATAAGTTAACATAAAAAAGTTAGGATAACAAAACGTAGCGAGATTCTAAGTCCAAGGAATAAAAAACTTTTTTGCAAAAATAATTTAATAAATATTTAAAATATCTAACTAGAAATGTATGTACAAAAAGCTGCATGCTTATACAACTATCGCAAAAAAAAAGATTTGTTATCATACAAGGATGTAGCTTCTACAATAATAATAAAAATGTAAGTCTCAATATTTTATCGGTATGAACTGATAAGATTTGAATGTCTGTGGCGTGTTACATACCCTAAGGCTCATGTACGTGTAAGGCACGTATCGTATGTTGTGGCAATAAAAGTCTCTATCATTTTACTATTAAACGAATAAAATGATGTGTGAGGAAAAAATAAGTTCGTAGACTTACCTGGGATTCTAAATTCACGGGAAGTACCCTGTAGGATTTAATTCCCGTGCGAGTTTCGAAAATTTGCGGAAATTTGTGGCATAAACGGCTGTATCTTTTGATTGCTTTGGTTTAGATGTTTGATTTTTTCACAGCTCCAAGGGACAGTAGACCCGAGTATTAGATATTAATTTTAGTTTGATACCCCACGCGTTCCTGAGAAAAACGGTCTTGACAGACGGACGGACGGACAACAAAGTAATCCTATGAGGGTTCCGTTTTTTCCTTTCTAGGTACGGAACCCTAAAAGTACAACCACATAAAATTTATTTTTTTCATACATATTACAATAAAAGAAATGAAAATTTATACATTCGAAACCATACATTAAAGCATATTTATTTTTTTAATTTAAATATTATCATCACTATCGTCATGATCATCGCTATCATTATCATCATGATGTTACTTGATGACATTACCTATATCTAGGCTTAGGCAAGGAAGTGTCCTGGGACTTACCGTTTTTCCTATTGTATATTAACGATCTCTGTAACTTCAACATTCTAAACGCAAGAATTTTTACATATGCTGATGACACAGCTATAATTTTTAGCGGTTCCTCGTGGGAAGATGTTAATAGTAATGCTGAAGTGGGGCTCGCTGGGATTGCTCCTTGGCTGGAAAATAACCTACTTATTCTTAACAGCAATAAAACAAAATATATGTTTCATTATTGATAATAGAACCCAACCAAGTAATGACTTTCATATCAGGATACATAAGTGTGGTAATCCTAGAAGCTTTAACTATACCTGCCCGATCATTGAGAAAACTGCACATGCATATAAAATATCGATCAAAATCTGACATGGCATACTAATATAGAACAAGTCCTAGGAAGGGTTAGAAAGATTATTTGTAGCTGATAAAGCACTTCTAAATAAAGTATATGTCTTATTGGCCCAGTCTATACTATGTTACTGCATTCCTATTTGGGGTAGGGTAGTAAAAACAAAGTTCTTAGATTTAGAAAAAAATACGTGTGGCACTCGGGGACTGCCGAGGTTAAGCTATTGCATAGCATTTTTTTTATCAACTTATGCAATTATAATTTATTTATTTATGCAGTTTTTTTTCTATGATGTTAATTCAAGTTTTTTCTTTTATTGATTTTGATTTTATTTCATTGAATAAATTAAAAGTTAATGTTGTTTAAAATATTTTTATAATCTTACATGCGCGCTTCGTACAGTCGTACCATATAGATACATGCACATTAAGGTAAAACTAGTCGCGGGCTCGAACTCACTCGGGGGTGCAGCCAAAAACCACGCTGTCTCACCTAGCATTGTGTCTAAAAGAGATAGAATCAGTTATGAGCAGTTAGCAGCTAGTCTACACGCATACGTCTAGTCGCACGCACACATAAACTCCGTGCAGAAATCTGCCGAACTGAAACGACGTTAGATGATGCACGGCTTTCAACGCCGCACCGCTGTGCCGGTCGGAGTGGGGGGTGTTAAAAGAAAGAAACTAAGAAAATAATTTTTATAAAATAAATATTATAAATATTCTGGCAGGGCCAGCTTAGCATTATATAATCTGGCGGTTGGCGCGCGTGAGGCGCTCGTTGATGTAGACCCGAGCGCCGCCCCCCACGGCCGTGGCCGGCGGGCCGCTCTCATCAGCGGTGTCCGGGGCGCCGTCCTCCGACAAGTTTTTTTTCATCAACAAATGTTTTCCTTTCCGAACCCGATGGAAAATACGTACACAAATCACCCCCGCGCGGGTCAAGGGGCAGGGTATTGTTTCATTGGCCAATTTTTAACCACTCGCTAGCGGGGGCTGCGTTCCAGAACTACGCTCTGAGTGCAACTTTTCACTGTGACATTTAAATTTTGAGATAAATGTGTGAAACTTTTGTCAAATTAGATATTTATTGCACCTGGATCGTAGGTTTGGAACGCAGTCCTGTGTATGTTATGTACGACAGCCGCGTCAGTAAAGTTTTGTGTATGTGTATGTGTTTTTGTTTACAAAAACACATACACATACACATATTTGTTTTCAAAAAACTTTTGCTGGAGATCCGGCTTAAAGATGGCCAGGATTACCAGATTGAATACAAAATTTCATATTTTGACGTATTTTATTTGCTTTATCACAACTCTTTAATTTAGTATTATTATAATACATGAAAAGTTTGGG